GAACGGGTCGTACATGCCTTCCTCTTCCAGCTCCTTTTGCAGAGCCGGGTCCCGGATCTCGCGGTGCATCATAAAAGTGCAGGCTGGATGTCTCTTGAACATGTTGTAGACCCAGGGTATGACGACTACGACACCTGCGGGTGGGCCGTGAAGAGCTAGTCGCGAGAGACGCTTGATAAAACTGGCGACGAGGTTGGCGGGTAAATGGGACGAAGACATGAAGGTGTCTAGTAGGCGGAAAAAACGCGATCGGTGTTTGGAATGGAGGAGGCCTTCGTCGAGGAGGGAGTACAGCTTGAGGTAGAATGACGGGTAGTCGAGGTTCTTCTCTGAAATTAAGTAGTAGATTCCGGACAGAGCCAGAAGAGAGGTTGCCCCGCCCACGTTGTAGGAGTCGGTCAAGAAATCCGATAAGATTTCAGGCTGCTGGAACCACGGCGCAATCTGGTGAGAAAAGTTGTGCAGGATAGACTTGCGCTGCTCCTTGGAGAGACCTGTGCGCATCGTGGCTAACCACGCTGCCTGTGCCTTTTCCTTGTATGCTTGGAGGGACGGTATCGGGCTCTTCCCTTGCACCTGTACGTAGAAATTTTGTATGTCGGTCTTGGATTTGGGGACTTCGGTAAGTGTGAATAGGAGGGACAGGCTGTTCGCAGCTACGAGTTGGCGCGTCGTAATGTCGAGCTCACTGTCAAGTACATCCCTGGATGTGTTAGTGGTAGTCATGAGACTTGGTATGTGTATGTGCTTACTTGATGGTCTGGAAGGTCTGGTATCGGATATCGTCGAACTGCTTCAGGTACTTCTCCGCAAATTCCTCGCGGTTCAGATCGTCTAGCGGGAGACATAGCAGCACCCTGATCAGTCTCGGCAGCGGCCCGTTCTTAATCTTGTAGTCTTTTTGTGACTTCGCCTCCTCCTTGACCAGTCGCAGAACCAGTGTCAGGGCCACAGACTGCCGAGGTGGATGTTCGCTGCCGAGGAAGTCGTCGATGAGTATGTCGGAGAGTTCTCGGTAGCGCTCCTTCAACCACGACACAATGACACCCTCTGCCTCGCTCATACCCTTGCTCTTCACCATGTCGCCTGTCACGAGTAGTCGTGAAAAGACTCGGCAGAGGGCCACGGCGGCGAGGATTGGTCCCTCATTCTCGGCGTCTGGCTGTCTCGCTCGCTGCAAAAGAGTTGCAATGTTGTTGTAGTGTTTTCGCGATTCGAGGATTTGTGCTTCGAGCTGTACAATTTCCGACTGGATGTCTTCGCCGTCGTCGCTGGGGGATTTGCGCCGGCTCTTCGATTTGGATTCGCCGCGCTCTGGCCTGCTTGGGTCCCTCTTCCTCTTGACACCAGACTTGCTGGCCGACTTTGCACCCGGCATGTTTTCCTGTGACTGATTTCTTGGCGTGGAGTTGAATTGCTCGCGGGCGCAAAAAAGTTGGCGATGTCGAAAAGTGAGGGCGGGCCGGGCGAAGTTCGGCTAGCGCATGGGCATCGGCGCTTGGCTCAGAGTTCACGCAGCATCACGAAAAGCTAGCTCTCGACGACGACCAGCACCCCAAAACTCCCCACGCCCATCAGACAGCCATGGCCTCACGTCTTGCAAGGAGCGCGGTCGGTGAGTACCACCCTCCCGATGATTCTGCGATGCCATTGACCCCGTGCTCACCCTAACAGGCGCCGCCCGTCTCCGCCCATCGCTCCCTCTCCGCGCCCTGCCCTCCCTCGCCGTCCAGGCCCGCTACAACTCCAACCTGCCCCAGGAGGACCCCAAGAAGAAGGCCCAGACCGTCCTCGACTCGATACCCGTCCCCGGCAACAGCCCCCTCACCAAGGCCGCCGTCCTCTCCGCCGGCGCCGGTCTCAGTGTCGCCGCTATCAGCAACGAGCTCTACGTCGTCAACGAGGAGTCCATTGTCGCCCTCTCGCTCCTGACCATCTTCTGGGCCGTTGCCAAGTACGCCGGACCTGCCTGGGGAGAGTATGCGCAACAGCAGGCCGACAAGATCTCCGGCATCTTGAACGCTGCCCGCCAGGACCACACCACCGCTGTCAAGCAGCGCATCGAGAGCGTCCAGGACCTCGGCGGTGTCATCGACATCACCAAGACCCTCTTCGAGGTTTCCAAGGTGCGACGCGACGGGAGAGGACACGCAAGGACCCAACACTGACAACCCCACAGGAGACCGCCCAGCTCGAGGCCCAGGCTTTCGAGCTTGAGCAGAAGACCGCCATCGCCGCCGAGGCCAAGTCCGTCCTCGACTCGTGGGTCCGCTACGAGGGCCAGGTCAAGCAGAGGCAGCAGAAGGAGCTCGCCGAGTCCATCATCGCCAAGATTGAGAAGGAGCTCGAGAACCCCAAGACCCTCAAGCAGATCCTTGACCAGAGCGTCACTGACATTGAGAGTATGTGGCATTGCATTTCAAACGTGCGGCATGAGCTAACAAGCAACAGGGATCGTCCAGAAGGCATAAGCGTCCTATAGCATCCACCAGTCAAGTCAATCAATGTTATATAAATCTGTGCAATAGTCAGGCTCGTTCAATATAGAGTACCTCAGGCTGGGAAAGGTCGAAATCGATTTCGTTCTGTCTCCTGAATACAAGTGACTTTTCTGTCGCATCTTTCAGTTCGGTCTCAGACAAGGCGGGGCTATTGATCATCTGGGAACCCCCTTCTCACGTTTAGCATCGCCATAGTAGCGGATATCCTAATAGGCACTACGCATTCAGAAGCGAGAGACGCTATACGAGCTTCATTGGGTATCGGACAAGACGAATTGACAATGGAAACCGGCATCTTACCCCGCGAAGTTCACGAACCCACCACCTTCCAAGTTCGTAACGACACCCAACCCAACAACATCCCTATCCGCTTCCTCAACCCGTGCTGCCATCACTGCAGGTTCTGTCGATGATAACGAATGGCTTGGACCAAAGCGGCCAATGCTTCCGATACAGATCCGAGAAGTTGGGATGCGCCTCGATGTTTGCAAAAGAACTCGGCACCACCATCAGCCCAGTGACGATACACAGAGTACTGCGTGGAGCCCACTTTTCGCATCCGCATAACCACGCATGTAAGCGTCGACGCCGCCATCTACAAGATCAACCTTTGCGCTCTCTTGGCCCGTTGTGTTTTCACCCCTGGGGAAGCGGTGATGGTCTTTTTCGCGGTCCTCCACTTCTCCTTTACATCTGCATAGCGATCCTTACCTTCCCAATTCCCGACGCGCTGGTCGTTGACATCTGTGTCTAATGACACCCCAGCAGTACTCAGTAGCTTGATGAGTACAATGCTATCTGTATTTGGATGTGTTACTATCATTAATTCACTATGTGGTAGTGTTGTATCTGACAGGTTTAGCGCATATCTGACAATGAAAGTGGCGTGAGTGACCGAGCGAGTCTGTCTCTAGGCAGCCAGATATAGCAATTCCCTTACAAGTGCTCAAAGTGACTGGCCGTTCGAAAAACGGGTCTCTACTCTATCATCTGCCCAATTACAAGATAAGCGGTCAAACGAACTCTAGTTCTACACTATCACTGAAGCCGTTGCCCACTCTCCACCATCGGCTCTATACGACCTGATAAACCGGCCACTGTTCTTCTAATCATACGTCTAACCGTCAGACCTAGTAGTCATGACAATAGTTTTCGGCGTCTGGCAGGCGTCGGCTCGTCAGCGCAAGCTGGCTCAAATCATGGCGAATCCTCGGCACTCTGCCCCTTATTATCGAGGCCCTTCGCCAGCAGTTACTTACCAGAAGAACGGACTGGTGCAGATGGATCCCACTCCAGAGCATTTGCTCTCCAAGTAAGTACTATCTCCAAGGTCACGTCAGACGCTAATGTACTAGGACCCAACATAACGCGTCGACGAATCTCCTCTTGTTGCCTGCGGAGATTCGTAACATGATCTTTCAGGAAGTTCTAGGCGGCTTCCAGATATCAATGAACGTCCCCGGACTCGATATCTGGCAAGATAGTGGTGATGACGACAAGCCTGGAGAACTCCGAAAGCTCGCGTTTGTGCTGCCATACGTATGCCGCCAGATCTATACCGAGACCGCTGTCTTACCTTACGCACTCAACACGTTCGTCGTGAGCTGCCGTTCCCACCGCGATGCCTTTGCAGGAAATCGCAACCAAGCCCAGCTAGAAGCCATACAAACTATCCAAGTTAATAACCCCTTCCTTTTTGATTCGGTCAACGGAACGGGGTTTGGCGGCTGCTCACGGTACGCACGAGGATGTAGTTGCCCGTTCGACTGGAAATCCTACCGTTCTCATTCCCCACCATCGTTAGCTATGCCGTTCACGCTCCTATTCCCGAACTTGCGGCGAATTTGGATTGAAGTTGACGTCACTGAAACTGGTTCCGACGATCATTTCGTCAAGTTGTTGGCGCAACATGCTGGCTTCAATGATTGGAAGGATTATGTGACGATGCGGGAGCGTGGTGTCCTTGAGGTCGTCGAGGTTGTTGACCCTGTCGAGATCGATGACCAATAGCTCCTGATTCAGGTTCGGCGGAGCGCGTCTATCAAGATGCTGTCAACTGTATTGGCCTGAGGTTGAGGTTGTCGTCATCGGTTGAATGTTTGTAAGAGCGTCCAAATTCAGGAAGCTTTAGTATGTTGGGATGGCTCACACTAGAGTCAAAGATCTCGTTGAACTTGTTTTAACAGAGTATTTGGTGCGCATTTGTAATCAAACTATTCATTCAAAGTGCCACATGACAATAATCATCAAGCTCGTGTAGTCTGCCAAACAAGATAATGCATTTACTGACATTGTCTCTTACCAAATTCGAGAATGCACGAAGAGAGAATCGCTTCGAGAAGTTTTTGCATTTATCGTGAGCTGGTAGCACAGTGAATGAGACTTTCCGTTCCCAGATGTGTATGGCTCTTGACTATCTGCGCTAGTCGTGGTCCGACCAGTCGCGTGCTTATCGCAACAAGCCCTTCCCACCTTCCCTGACTCCCAACTACCGCGATCATGGATCCAAAGTTGAGCGCCCGTCCTGATAATGCCCTACCAAATCCAGGGAATACTCCCGAATATCTGCGCCCTCGGTAGGGAATAGAGCGATCAATGTACTAAGATTGGACTGACTGAACCAAGTACACAATCCAACGCGCGTACACGTCTTCTCGCTCTGCCTGCAGAGATTCGCGAAAATGTTTACAAGTTTACCCTCATTAGCAACAAGGAGGTCACCGTCTACAAGGGACGCGTCAAGTTCGACCGCGGACTGGCCCCCCACGCCCTCGCTTTACTGAGGACTTGTCGACAAATCTACATTGAATCGCGTCTGGTATTCTACTCCGGAAACAATTTTAAGTTTCCCTACGACACCTTCCTCGACCGCTACTGGGCCGGGAAGTGCGCGCTCTCGCGCGAACAGTTGGAAACTATCCAGAGCGTTGTTCTCTACAAGTCATGGATTTACTTCTGGAACGGAAGACAGTGGGAATTTCCCTGGACGGCGTGTATGAGGACTTTTCCAAATTTGAAGAAGATTGTGTTGCAGGGGGTTACTTTGACGTTCATGTTAGAGCGTGATGCTGTGGTGGGAGGGAGCACCACTTGGGTGGAGTACCTCGAGATCCAGAAGGGTATCAAGCTTGAGGTCATCACCGAAGATCATTCGGGGCCCGAGTAGCTGACGAGTTAGTCAACCGGGCGTTCGAGCCCTTGGCGGGGTTAGACCTCTTGTTGGCACTGGACATGGTCGAAGGAGATCCGCCGGGCCATCAATATGTATACAAAGTCCAGTTGTGTTTCTTGGAGAAGCATTTTGCAGTAAAATAGAGCAAGTTTAAGCGGGAGTTATTGATTGTACATCGTCTAATACACTACGAAGCAGATGAGGTCACCTGATCCAGTGAGCTGTCAGTGAAAACTGGATGTGTTCGTACGAGGTGCCAGCCAGGTGTTACACTTTGCTCAGTAAAAAGCTTACAATTCTCAAAGTCCCTCTATGTATAGGGTATATAGCTTACAATCCTTAAGGCTTACATATGTAGAGTATGGAGCTTGCAATCCCCTAGGCCTGTATGTATTTAGAGTAAAGAAGTTGCAATCTTCTAGACCTTGATGTATTCAAAGTGTAAAGCTTACAATTCCATAGGCCTCTATGTGTCTAGAGCGTCAAGGTTGCAATCCCCCGCGGCCTCTACTTGTAAAGTGTTGCTTGACATCAAGCGACACACGCTCTTAGAATACCACATACCTTATGCAAGTTCCAACGCAACCCAGTAGTGATCGAGCACAATAAGTCATCTTACGACAAGTCGCGGTATACAAGAACAAATGCTAGATTGAGGGGTATGTAACACCAAGACTCGCATGCTCCGACAGCAGCAGCAAAGATCAACACCATACAGTACCGTGCGCAAACCAGATACATGCCCCAAACATACAGGAAGAAGGTTGACACACACACACAAGGGAAAAGCGACTGCCAGATACAAATGCCCGCAAGACATGAGAAGACCATAAGGGGTGAAATTGTCGAATCGGGTCGGAGGGAGCCCAGAGCTCCAGGTAATGCATGCGTTCGCTGCTATGCTATGCTGAACTGAACAATTGGTCGTCGTTTTGGAAGATGTAAAGGTGGTGGTTTTGGTGGTTGGGTATACGGGAAAGGGGGTTCGTCGTGAGGAAGGTCGTGACAAGAAGGAGGGTATCGATGGAAAAGAAGTGGGCGAGTCGAGCGGCCAAGGCTATGGCCACCAGTTCATCCTCTTGTAGCTCTCAATGACCTCTTCGACCTTTTCTTTGGTGATCTTCTCTACGTTGTATCTGATGATGTGTTAGTCTATTGCCGCCTGCATGCGCTTTTGGTGTGTAAAAGTGACTTACTTGAAGCCCGTCTCCTTCTCGAACAGACTCCCGTCCATGCTCAGATCCGCATCTTTCAGCAGCTCCTTCTCCATGTACGGTGTCAGCGGTGTCGATTGGCTGATGCCGGCTTTTTGTTGCAGTTCTGCCCAGGGGTCTAGCGTCTCGTCGTTGACTTCGTCGACGACATGGTCGAGATTCAATCGTGCAAAGGCTGAAATGAGTGTGCCGTGGAAGCCGGTTTCGATGTTGAAGATCTTACCCATGAGCTGGGCAGTGTCTTTTTGGGCTAAATGTCATGTCAGTACTGCAGTAGATAGGATGACGTGTTGTGGAGAGGCCTTACAGTGATTCGCATGATCCACAATGTTAAAGGTGGGTGCCGGTCTGCGTCCTGGGGGCCCCTTCATGTACCACTCGACACCATGCCACAGCGCTCTCGTAGAATCCTCAATGTGCACCAGGTTCGTCTTCAGGTCTTCTTTCCACAGGAAGCGCATCTCCTTTCCTTTGCTCTGGTATACCCTCGCCATGCAAAGCGCCGTGCTCAGGTATTTGCTCGTGTACGGCCCGTAGACGTGTGCCATCCTCATCACTATCAGGTTCAAGCCTTCGATCTTGGCCAGGTCCTCCTCAGCCTTGAGTTTCCATTTCGCGAGATTCGACCACGGTTTCGGCTTGTCTGACTCTTTGCTGGGTGCGCTGTCGGGCTTGTAGACCATGCCGGTGCTGACTTCGAGGAAGCATTTGACCTTGCGTTTCGCGGCTTCGCGGCCAATGGCCATGGACAGGCCGTAGGAGCGGAGCTCGTAGACCTTCTCGTCTTGGGCGAAGCGGGTCTCGCCGCCGCAGTTGAAGACATAGTCGAATTCGGCGCCGCCTTCACGGTCGAATATTCGCGGGAGGGATTCTGTAGGGTTCGGATTAGCCTCGAACGTCTTGTTGTAGACATCCCTTGGACCCAGAGACACGGTCAGGGGTACGCACTCTCCTGCGCCGCATCCGCCTGTATGAATCGCTCTCTTGAGCACGCCTCCTTGAATTCAGGTGCAAGCCATGCCAGCTCCGGGAGATGTTTGTCGACGATGCGAATCTGCGAGGCGAGGTTGTTGTCGTGGATGTATTTGGTGAGGTGTCGCCCGGTGTAGCCTAATGCACATGGTCAGCCCTCGTGGCATGCTTGGGTTGTGCCCAGCGCGAGCCTTACCCAACCCTCCTATTATCAGCACCGAAGGCTTTTCTGAAGCCATTTCTGGGGTCGCGTATGTTCGTGATCTGCGTCTCCTGTGCGCGCAAGAAGAGATCGCTAGGGGATTCTGAAGGGCGCAGTGGGCGGATGGTGTCTGCTAAGGCCAAAGTCGGGGGTGGAGATTTGAGCGGTGCGGATCGCGCTCAGACCGTCTTTGCGAGGAACCAACTGGCGAGGGACAATATCACGGCTGCTATAGGCGAAGCGTCTTGCTGCGATCGTCTGTCTTGCTCACGTTGGAAGAAAGATAACACGCGGCGTTCGTGATCGCGGGCGTCGAGCTGGAACGAGAGGGACTAACCACGAAGAGAGATACTCCAAGTAGGATACCGCGGCACCACAACGATGTCATATAACTCAGGCCCAATATGCGCGACTCATTGACCTGCAGGAGGGGGGCAGTCAGGCCGATATTTAAATGTGCACACCCAAGCCCGGCGATAATTCTCTTCGCAAGAGGCCACCCCCATCACTGAGGCTCAAAAACCAACTATGGCCGCCAGTAGCAGTCATGGTCGGGCACTTGTGGCTGATCCAATGCACACCATAGTGGTCCGCTCCGCAAGCAAGTCGACCGAGATTATGTGGGCTTCGTATGTAGCGAGCCCGCGACAATTGTATTGAAGGCGCCCGCCGCCACCCGCCACGTTATGCAACTTGGGCACGAGCACACAATGCGATCCGCTCCACCGTATCCCCTCATATTCACAGCATGACGTTTGCTGTTCCTATCTCCTGGATACATAGCGGTTGTCGCGGGAGATGTACAAGAAGCGGGCGGTGAACGACGGCGCGCTCCCGCAGTGCTGGACCTTGTCTCGAGCTTCAATACTTTGGGCGCATGACAGCCCGACAGTGGGGGTGAACTCCCCCTGAGTTCACACCAACAGAGCTATCAGGCAATCCCTGACTGACGTAGCCATAATCCTTGGGCGTTCTCCGACGTTGTGTACGATGTGTAAGCCACACTCGCCATCCTTCAACGAGCGATTACCGAATAAAAAGCAAACAAGTGCGGAGCCGCGAGGTTTGTCGCTAAATCGCCTTCCCCTTTACAGACACGATGCTGGGGTTGTCCTTCTAGCTTAACGTCTAGCCTGCATAAAACCCTCGCTTCGTAACAAGTTCAGATGACTTCTACTAGGCTAGGCACCGTGACAAGAAGTTCGGCTCGTAGCATTGCCGATATGTATTCAATATTATGGTCATTGAGTCAAGTAAGACCTCGTAGCGGCTGACTTAGACGGCACGAATGCCGTCAGATGTTGCTGTGATTCCGCGGAATGGGGACTACTCATCAGCCCAACGCCCTCGTCGGCGACTAAAGATTTATTGTCAAGCCTATGGACGGCGCCTCCAACATACACAGTTCGTACCGGCGATGTGTCATGCAGCTCCGGGCTCCGAGGGCCTGTCGGCGCCGGGTGCCGTAGCACACGGCGTGCGAATCTAGAGATCTCTTCGATCTGTACCTCCTATCAATAAATGTAACGCAGGTACCCAAGCCGTATCATTGGCTGCGACGCACTTTCTTACACCGCTCTATGCCATCCATCGTGATTGTGCGACTGGCCGACATGCAGTTTGCATCCAGAGCAGGCTGTGTGACGGTGCATTGCAAGACAGGCATGCATGCACAACCTCGGAGTCGAACAGCAGTTCATGCATAGAACGTCACTAAGGATGGTGATCGTCCCGCACTTGCATATGCATCAGTAATCCTTTTCAGCTGAGTCTCTATTTGATATGTTGCTGTAGATGACTGGCTAGATCGCAAAGCAACTATGAATATCTTAAAGCTATGCAGTGGACTCCCTGAAGTAAAATGAGATCGCAAAGTCATATCGCATGCTCGCCGAACCGTACCACCCATGCCCTTTCATACGGAAATAGTACTAAATGCCATCGTGCTTTTCTTCGCCGCATGTCGCCCAGTCAGTCTCACCCTATGATGCTGTGTGCACCCGATGCAAATCTAAGAAGATGTCCGAAGACAAGGAAACCCCGCCTTGTATGCATGCTTTGCTCTAAAACTCCCAGGTCTCGTCGACTGACTTGATGGCCCAGTCGAACTTCTCGCGGAGTGTCTTGGAAAAGAACTTCTCGATGGGTACGTCGAACTTCTTGGAGAAGACCACAGTGAGACGAGGGTCGATGTAGTTCTAGTTGCGGTTAGTCAGAGATCATGCAAGATGGACGGGGAGTGACTTACGATCTTGGACGTGCCAAGGGCAACCTCCTTGTTGCCCTCCTTATCCTCCATCTGGATCTTCATGTTCTCAATGCGCTGGTTGAGCTTGTCGATGTTACCCTCCAGCTTGTCGACTGTTGGACCCTTGCCCTCAGCTTCGACCTTGCCAGTCTTGTTCTCCTTCTTGTACTTGGCGGCCAGCTCATTCACCTTCTCCATACGCTCCTCGAGCTCCTTAGGCTTCATCTCCTTCTCGCCGTCGGCCTTGAGCTTCTCGTTCTCTTTTTCGAACTTCTTGATGATCTTTTGTCGCATCTCTTCGATCTCTGCCTCCTGGTGCTGTTTGACCCACTCCATATCGAGGTCTTCGGGTCGCTCA